TGTTTTGTGTCCGTTACAGTAACCAATCATTCAACATATTTCCTTAAACACATTTCCTGGGCATCATTTCACAGGTACGAGTCTTCCTCTCATCACAATGGACCTACTTATCAAAACGTTTTATATATGTTTTATGTGACCATACCAGACATTTACGCCCCAGGAGCCTCTCTCATTGCCAATATGTCAATATATATATTTTTTAAATCTAGAAGCAATGAAGCATGAAAATATAACTGCGATGTCGTGGCTCGTAATAGGAACATCTCAGTTGCCCTTTGGACCAATCAGTTAGGTCATAACCAGTAACCTACCTGTTTCTAGATGTCATTTAGGGTCAAATGAAATGACTTCAATGAAGCAGATCTAAAGCACCAATCAGGGGACAGACAATATCTGTTCAACTGGAGCCAACTGACCGGGGCTAGAGGAGCCAACTGACCGGGGCTAGAGGAGCCAACTGACCGGGGCTAGAGGAGCCAACTGACCGGGGCTAGAGGAGCCAACTGACCAGGGCTAGAGGAGCCAACTGACCGGGGCTAGAGGAGCCAACTGACCGGGGCTAGAGGAGCCAACTGACCGGGGCTAGAGGAGCCAACTGACCGGGGCTAGAGGAGCCAACTGACCGGGGCTAGAGGAGCCAACTGAACATGTCTGGTTATAAAGGCTGCCATTTGGGACTCAGGTCAACACCACTGCTCTCCTTTAGACGGATCAACTACAAAGGACTCAGTCCCAAGCCAATAAAATGTAATAAAACTGATGATTAAATAGACTCTCTGTTTAGATGATATCTTGAACTTTGTTGAACATTCTGTTCTGATGGGAGCTGTCTGACACTGGGGAGTCTGGGAGGTTGGCTGAAAACATGCTCACTTATCGCTACACTGAATACACATCTATAACAGGCCTTCTGCTAATTATCTACACACACTGACAATGGGGAAATGGGGAAAGGGTAAAAACAGGTGATCTTCCACCGATGGGTGATAAGGATGGAAGCTACAGTGGCTGGTCTGAAATGATAGAAACACCATGTTGATTCATGGATACTTTCAAAGTGACAGGAAACAAATAAAAGTAACAGCGTTATCAGACTTCTGATTGGCCGGACGACGTTTCTGCACACGAGGTCTATAGGTCGAACCCATTGTCATGACTACAGATGTAGGATCTCAATTTGAGCCAGTATGCGACAGCAGGAAAATAACCCTGCAGCAACATGAAATGTGAATTATTATGTGGATTATAATTCATGGACATTTTTGTAGGGGTTGATACATTTTTAGTTAGGGCAAATCAATTCCGAATTTTCAAAGTGAAAATTACAAACTTTAGAAACTTTAAAAAATTACAAATACACTAGAAGTTAGCATTTCCTGCTGGAACATTATCAGAAACGAAAGAGTGGTCAAATTAAGATCCTACATCTGTAGACCATTCAGGCTGGTATGGGGAGCATTAAACAGTGTTTACAGTGGGTCAAAAGGTCAACCAGAGATGTTATAATGTTAGGCTTTGGCCATGTGAATCCAGGTGAAAGCTATGATCCCTTATTGATGTCACTTGTTCAATCCACTTCAATCAGTGTGGATGAAGGGGAGGAGACAGGTTAGAGAAGGATTTTTAAGCCTCGAGACAATTGAGACACGGATTGTGTATTTGTGCCATTACGAGAGTCAATGGGCAAGACAGAATCTTGAAGTGCCTTTGAACGGGGTATCGTAGTAGAGTCCATGCCCCGACGAACTGAGACTGTTCTTAATGTTTTGTCCACTCAGTGTATCTCCGAGGTTGGTATAGTTCACTGGGAGGACGGCTCATAGAACATGTTTACCATTCCATTCACTCCATTCCAGAAATTATTATGAGCCGTCCTCCCCTCAGCAGCCTACTGTGAGTTAAACCCTATCTAGAGGTGGATATATCTGAGGTTGATATATCCTATCTAGAGGTGGATATATCTGAGGTTGATATATCCTATCTAGAGGTGGATATATCTGAGGTTGATATATCCTATCTAGAGGTGGATATATCTGAGGTTGATATATCCTATCTAGAGGTGGATATATCTGAGGTTGATATATCCTATCTAGAGGTGGATATATCTGAGGTTAATATATCCTATCTAGAGGTGGATATATCTGAGGTTAATATATCCTATCTAGAGGTGGATATATCTGAGGTTAATATATCCTATCTAGAGGTGGATATATCCGAGGTTAATATATCCTATCTAGAGGTGGATATATCTGAGGTTGATATATCCTATCTAGAGGTGGATATATCTGAGGTTGATATATCCTATCTAGAGGTGGATATATCTGAGGTTGATATATCCTATCTAGAGGTGGATATATCTGAGGTTGATATATCCTATCTAGAGGTGGATATATCTGAGGTTAATATATCCTATCTAGAGGTGGATATATCTGAGGTTGATATATCCTATCTAGAGGTGGATATATCTGAGGTTGATATATCCTATCTAGAGGTGGATATATCTGAGGTTAATATATCCTATCTAGAGGTGGATATATCTGAGGTTGATATATCCTATCTAGAGGTGGATATATCTGAGGTTGATATATCCTATCTAGAGGTGGATATATCTGAGGTTGATATATCCTATCTAGAGGTGGATATATCTGAGGTTGATATATCCTATCTAGAGGTGGATATATCTGAGGTTAATATATCCTATCTAGAGGTGGATATATCTGAGGTTGATATATCCTATCTAGAGGTGGATATATCTGAGGTTGATATATCCTATCTAGAGGTGGATATATCTGAGGTTGATATATCCTATCTAGAGGTGGATATATCTGAGGTTGATATATCCTATCTAGAGGTGGATATATCTGAGGTTGATATATCCTATCTAGAGGTGGATATATCTGAGGTTGATATATCCTATCTAGAGGTGGATATATCTGAGGTTGATATATCCTATCTAGAGGTGGATATATCTGAGGTTGATATATCCTATCTAGAGGTGGATATATCTGAGGTTAATATATCCTATCTAGAGGTGGATATATCTGAGGTTGATATATCCTATCTAGAGGTGAATATATCTGAGGTTGATATATCCTATCTAGAGGTGGATATATCTGAGGTTGATATATCCTATCTAGAGGTGGATATATCTGAGGCTGACATATCCTATTTAAAGGTGGATATATCTGAGGTTGATATATCCTATTTAAAGGTGGATATATCTGAGGTTAATATATCCTATCTAGAGGTGGATATATCTGAGGTTAATATATCCTATCTAGAGGTGGATATATCTGAGGTTAATATATCCTATCTAGAGGTGGATATATCTGAGGTTGATATATCCTATCTAGAGGTGGATATATCTGAGGTTAATATATCCTATTTAAAGGTGGATATATCTGAGGTTAATATATCCTATCTAGAGGTGGATATATCTGAGGTTGATATATCCTATCTAGAGGTGGATATATCTGAGGTTGATATATCCTATCTAGAGGTGGATATATCTGAGGTTGATATATCCTATCTAGGGGTGGATATATCTGAGGTTGATATATCCTATCTAGAGGTGGATATATCTGAGGTTGATATATCCTATCTAGAGGTGGATATATCTGAGGTTGATATATCCTATCTAGAGGTGGATATATCTGAGGTTGATATATCCTATCTAGAGGTGGATATATCTGAGGTTGATATATCCTATCTAGAGGTGGATATATCTGAGGTTGATATATCCTATCTAGAGGTGGATATATCTGAGGTTGATATATCCTATCTAGAGGTGGATATATCTGAGGTTGATATATCCTATCTAGAGGTGGATATATCTGAGGTTGATATATCCTATCTAGAGGTGGATATATCTGAGGTTAATATATCCTATCTAGAGGTGGATATATCTGAGGTTAATATATCCTATCTAGAGGTGGATATATCTGAGGTTGATATATCCTATCTAGAGGTGGATATATCTGAGGTTGATATATCCTATTTAAAGGTGGACATATCTGAGGTTGATATATCCTATCTAGAGGTGGATATATCTGAGGTTGATATATCCTATCTAGAGGTGGATATATCTGAGGTTGATATATCCTATCTAGAGGTGGATATATCTGAGGTTGATATATCCTATCTAGAGGTGGATATATCTGAGGTTGATATATCCTATTTAAAGGTGGACATATGTGAGGTTGATATATCCTATCTAGAGGTGGATATATCTGAGGTTGATATATCCTATCTAGAGGTGGATATATCTGAGGTTGATATATCCTATCTAGAGGTGGATATATCTGAGGTTGATATATCCTATCTAGAGGTGGATATATCTGAGGTTGATATATCCTATCTAGAGGTGGATATATCTGAGGTTGATATATCCTATCTAGAGGTGGATATATCTGAGGTTAATATATCCTATCTAGAGGTGGATATATCTGAGGTTGATATATCCTATCTAGAGGTGGATATATCTGAGGTTGATATATCCTATTTAAAGGTGGACATATCTGAGGTTAACATATTCTATCTAGAGGTAAGATTTTTCTTACATGAAATTAGTAAAACGATGGCACGGATTTGTTTAATATGAATCCAGTACAGAGAACACATTATGTGTGTGACAACAATAATATCTGTCTCCATGGAAACTATAGAGTAAAGTTACAACCATGATACATTCTAAGGATGAACCCAATATTTACAAAAGACACCACTCTGTGATGAGAGAAAGTTATGTAGGTACTAAACAACAGAGAAAGAGCTTTTGCCTTTAATATACATTTAAACATATGTAAATATTGTTTGTCTTAAATATTCATCTCCATTGTGTGTTGTGGTTATTCACGGCACACCAACTTATTCCCCCCCAGAAAACATGAAAGCTAAAATAAGACAGTTTATGTTACACTTTCTACATGTTCTAAACTAAGACAGTAACTAAGAGCCTTCAGTAGTTGTCAGAACCCAGGGGCTGTAGCTAGGGGAGTCTAATGGAAGTGGAGAGGTGTCTCTGGAGACAGGAGACAGGGTGGCTGGTGGAACTGGAGAGGTGTCTCTGGAGACAGGAGACAGGGTGGCTGGTAGAACTGGAGAGGTGTCTCTGGAGACAGGGTGGCTGGTGGAACTGGAGAGGTGTCTCTGTAGACAGGAGACAGGGTGGCTGGTAGAACTGGAGAGGTGTCTCTGTAGACAGGAGACAGGGTGGCTGGTGGAACTGGAGAGGTGTCTCTGGAGACAGGGTGGCTGGTAGAACTGGAGAGGTGTCTCTGGAGACAGGGTGGCTGGTAGAACTGGAGAGGTGTCTCTGGAGACAGGAGACAGGGTGGCTGGTAGAACTGAAAAGGTGTCTCTGGAGACAGGAGACAGGGTGGCTGGTAGAACTGGAGAGGTGTCTCTGGAGACAGGAGACAGGGTGGCTGGTAGAACTGGAGAGGTGTCTCTGGAGACAGGAGACAGGGTGGCTGGTAGAACTGGAGAGGTGTCTCTGGAGACAGGAGACAGGGTGGCTGTGTAGAACTGGAGAGGTGTCTCTGGAGACAGGAGACAGGGTGGCTGGTAGAACTGGAGAGGTGTCTCTGGAGACAGGGTGGCTGGTAGAACTGGAGAGGTGTCTCTGGAGACAGGAGACAGGGTGGCTGGTAGAACTGGAGAGGTGTCTCTGGAGACAGGAGACAGGGTGGCTGGTAGAACTGGAGAGGTGTCTCTGGAGACAGGAGACAGGGTGGCTGGTAGAACTGGAGAGGTGTCTCTGGAGACAGGAGACAGGGTGGCTGGTAGAACTGGAGAGGTGTCTCTGGAGACAGGGTGGCTGGTAGAACTGGAGAGGTGTCTCTGGAGACAGGAGACAGGGTGGCTGGTAGACTGAAGGTGTCTCTGGACAGGACGGGTGGCTGTAGAACTGGAGAGGTGTCTCTGGAGACAGGAGACAGGGTGGCTGGTAGAACTGGAGAGGTGTCTCTGGAGACAGGAGACAGGGTGGCTGGTAGAACTGGAGAGGTGTCTCTGGAGACAGGGTGGCTGGTAGAACTGGAGGTGTGTCTCTGGAGACAGGGTGGCTGGTTAGAACTGGAGAGGTGTCTCTGGAGACAGGAGACAGGGTGGCTGGTAGAACTGGAGAGGTGTCTCTGGAGACAGGAGACAGGGTGGCTGGTAGAACTGGAGAGGTGTCTCTGGAGACAGGGTGGCTGGTAGAACTGGAGAGGTGTCTCTGGAGACAGGAGACAGGGTGGCTGGTAGAACTGGAGAGGTGTCTCTGGAGACAGGAGACAGGGTGGCTGGTAGAACTGGAGAGGTGTCTCTGGAGACAGGAGACAGGGTGCCTGGTAGAACTGGAGAGGTGTCTCTGGAGACAGGAGACAGGGTGGCTGGTAGAACTGGAGAGGACTCTGTGGACTGTATATTGTGTTGTTCTGTGTGTCTCTGAGGGTCTGTCAGGTCAGGGTCAGGCTATGTTACGTCTGCTTCAAACCCAGGGTTCATCTGGCCGTGGGAGTTCCTCTTCTGGACCTCCTCAAAGATCTGGAGCACCTGGCAGAGAAACACGCAGAAAACAGAGGTTATAGACAACTCTCTCTCTCTCTCTCTCTCTCACTCTCACTCTCACTCTCACTCTCTCTCACTCACACAGGCACACACGCACACACTCACACACGCACACACGCACACACACACACACACACACACAACACACACACACAGAGAGAGTAAACACTACCATAACCATACCCTTGATTCCAGTCGTCCTGCACATTAGCTCACTGTGTGTGTGTGCTGTCTTGTCATGTTAATGGTTGGTGCGCTTAGATGGTGTCAGATTTAAGGTTAATGTCATTTTAGCGTCCTGTTTACCTGAGACTTGGGGATGAGGCCACTCTGAAGAATCCCTAACCCCTAACCCTAACCCTAGCCCTAACCCTAACCCTAACCCTAGCCCTAACCCTAACTCTAACCCTAGCCCTAGCCCTGTTTACCTGAGACTTGGGGATGAGGCCACTCTGAAGAATCCCTAACCCCTAACCCTAACCCCTAACCCCTAACCCTAGCCTTGTTTACCTGAGACTTGGGGATGAGGCCCACTCTGAAGAATCCAATATGACCACTCTCTATCTTGGTGCAGTCGACAATGGTGGAGGCACTGTTCTCAGGGGACGGCCCATCACACAACACACCATCCACATAGACAGACAGACATTGTTGACCGTCAGAACTACAGTAATATTGATATCTGTGTCTCAGCTGGATCATCAGAACTACAGTAATATTGATATCTGTGTCTCAGCTGGATCATCAGAACTACAGTAATATTGATATCTGTGTCTCAGCTGGATCATCAGTCTATATCAGTGTATTTATTTATTTTTAGTCATTTAGCAGACGCTCTTATCCAGAGCGACTTACATGAGCAATTAGGGTTAAGTGCCTTGCTCAAGGGCACATCGACAGATTTTTCACCTAGTCGGCTCGGGGATTAGAACCAGCGACCTTTCGGTTACTGGCACAACGCTCTTAACCACTAAGCTACCTGCCGCCCCGGCAGTTCTCTTAGTTCTCTCAGTCTTTATAATGGTGTTTCTAGAGCCCTGTTTATACCTGGTTCTAACATGCATCCTTTGTCCTGATCTTATCCACATTCTAATTGTGCCCACGTTTCCAGACAGGTGTAGACGATTAAAAGACACATTGTGGTCTGATTGTGATCAGATCTTCCTGACCACCTCCAGAGGTAGTCAGACACTCATTGCGTCTGGATAGCTTACACGTGTTGACGGATCTGGACAGAGAAACCATTCGAATCATAATGATCCCGCCTTCTAAAATGATTGACAGGTGGCACCATTGACTTATGGCATCAATATGTGTCTGAAAATAAATTAATCAATATTATTTTGAAAGAATAGCTGTCAAATAATTTGCATAAAGGAAGGGACCAGGAAGTGTGTTCACAATGTGGATACAGTGGTCGGATTTTAATAGCATATGTAGACAGACACTAAGTATGTGGACACCTGCTCGTCAAACATCATCGGCATTAATATAGAGTTGGTCCCCCTTTGCTGCTATAACAGCCTCCACTCTTCTGGGAAGGCTTTCCACTAGATGTTGGAACATTGCTGCAGGGACTTGCTTCCATTCAGCCACAAGAGCATTAGAGCGGACTTGCTTCCATTCAGCCCCGCAAAATAACTGTAACTATTCCCCAGGTCATTGCTGTAAATGAGTGTTCTCAGTCAATTTACCTTGTAAAATAATAAATAAATAAAATAAAATATCCTATCTAGAGGTGGATATATCTGAGGTTAATATATCCTATCTAGAGGTGGATATATCTGAGGTTAATATATCCTATCTAGAGGTGGATATATCTGAGGTTAATATATCCTATCTAGAGGTGGATATATCTGAGGTTAATATATCCTATCTAGAGGTGGATATATCTGAGGTTGATATATCCTATCTAGAGGTGGATATATCTGAGGTTAATATATCCTATCTAGAGGTGGATATATCTGAGGTTAATATATTCTATCTGGAGGTGGATATATCGTTGAACATCTCATTCCAAAATCATGGGCATTAATATGGAGGTGGTCCTGTTCTGTGAGCTTGTGTGGTCTACCACTTCACGGCTGAGCCGTTGTTGCTCCTAGACGTTTCCACTTCACAATAACAGCACTTACAGTTGACCGGGGCAGCTTTAGCAGGGCAGAAATTTGACGAACTGACTTGTTGGAAAGGTGGCATCCTATGACGGCGACACGTTGAAAGTCACTGAGCTCTTCAGTAAGGCCATTCTACTGCCAATGTTTGTCTATGGAGATTGCAACGGGTGTGGCTGAAAGTAGCCGAATCCACTAATCTGAAGGGGTGTCCACATACTTTCGGCCATGTAGTGTATTTCAGAAAATGTGGGCATAATTAGAATGTACACAAGATCAGGACGAAGGACACCTGTTAACAGCAGGTATAAATGAGGCTTAGGTGTGGGCACCTGGTCTCCCAGCTTGGCGTACACCTGGTCTCCCAGCTTGGCGTACACCTGGTCTCCCAGCTTGGCGTACACCTGGTCTCCCAGCTTGGCGTACACCTGGTCTCCCAGCTTGGCGTACACCTGGTTGTGGTGTGTGGTCTCTGCTTCTCCGGTGGGGTTGGCTGACGTCACAGCGATGGGACCCTCCTGCAGGGCAGAATAATGGGAAAGAATGGGAAGCATCAGTTAAGATATACAGTGACCACAAACCCTGGTCCCTGAGAGCTACAGAGGGTGAGCAGGCTTTTGTTCCAGCCCAGCACTAGGTCTATGATATACCACATTGTCTGGGTTCCTGATAGCGATGCTCTGAGGGTTAGGGGTCAGGGGTTAGGGGTCAGGGGTTAGGGTTCGTACCAGGTTGATAAGATGAGTATCTACCACACAGTCTGGGTTCCTGATAGCGATGCTCTGAGGGTTAGGGGTCAGGGGTTAGGGTTCGTACCAGGTTGATAAGATGAGTATCTACCACACAGTCTGGGTTCCTGATAGCGATGCTCTGAGGGTTAGGGGTCAGGGGTTAGGGGTCAGGGGTTAGGGTTCGTACCAGGTTGATAAGATGAGTATCTACCACACAGTCTGGGTTCCTGATAGCGATGCTCTGAGGGTTAGGGTTCAGGGGTTAGGGTCAGGGGTTTAGGGTTCGTACCAGGTGAATAAGAATGGTTCTACCAGCCATCTGGGTTCCTTATAGGCATGCTCTGATGTTATGGGTCAGGGGTTAGGGTCCAAGGGTTATGGTTCGTAACCAGGTTGATAATATGAGTACTACCACACAGTTCTGGGTTTCCTGATCGCGATTCTCTTAGGGTTAGAGGTCAGGGGTAGGGTCAGGGGTTAGGGTCAGGGGTTAGGTTCCTTACGCCCAGGTTGAGAAGATGAGTTAATCTACCACCACACAGTCTGGGTTTCCTGATCGGCTGCTCTGGGGTTAGAGGTCAGGGGGTTTAGGGGTCAGGGGTTGGGGTCCAGGGGTTTGGTCAGGGGTTAGGGGGCATGGGTTAATTTTCTCTGGAGCGTTCTCTGATGGTCTTTACCTGATTCCCCCAGAACCACATCTCCATCCACAGTAGGAGACATTAGGACAGGTAAGACAGGGAGAGACAGGTAGAGACAGGGAGAGACAGGTAGAGACAGGTAGAGACAGGGAGAGACAGGTAGAGACAGGGAGAGACAGGTAGAGACAGGTAGAGACAGGTAGAGACAGGGAGAGACAGGTAGAGACAGGTAGAGACAGGTAGAGACAGGAGAAGAAGGACAGGGTAGAGGACAGGGAGAGACAGGTAGAGACAGGGCATTGAGACAGGGTAGAGACAGGTAGAGGAGAGACAGGGAGAGAGACAGGTAGAGACAGGTAGAGACAGGTAGAGACAGGGAGAGACAGGTAGAGACAGGTAGAGACAGGGAGAGACAGGTAGAGACAGGTAGAGACAGGTAGAGACAGGGAGAGACAGGTAGAGACAGGTAGAGACAGGGAGAGACAGGGAGAGACAGGTAGAGACAGGTAGAGACAGGTAGAGACAGGGAGAGACAGGGAGAGACAGGTAGAGACAGGGAGAGACAGGTAGAGACAGGTAGAGACAGGTAGAGACAGGAGACGGTAGGATAGAACAGGAGACAGGTAGAGACAGGAAGACAGTAGGACAGGGACAGGTAGGGACGGTAAGAGACAGGGAGCGACAGGGAGAGACGGTAGAGACCAGGTAGCGACAGGTCGAGAAGGGAGAGAAAGGGGGACAGTAGAGACAGGGAGAGACAGTAGAACAGGGTAGAAGACAGTTAGAGACCGGTAGAGACAGGTTTTAAGGACACAAGTAGAGACAGGGAGCAGAGAACAGGTTAGAGACAGGGAGAGACAGGTAGAGACAGGTAGAGACAGGGAGAGACAGGTAGAGACAGGTAGAGACAGGTAGAGACAGGGAGAGACAGGGAGAGACAGGTAGAGACAGGTAGAGACAGGTAGAGACAGGGAGAGACAGGTAAAGACAAGTAGAGACAGGGGAGAGACAGGTAGGACAGGGAGGACAGGTAGAGACGGTAGAGACAGGGAGAGGGACGGTAGAGACAGGTAGAGACAGGTAGAGACAGGGAGAGACAGGTAGAGACAGGTAGAGACAGGTAGAGACCGGTAGAGACAGGGAGAGACAGGTAGAGACAGGTAGAGACAGGGAGAGACAGGTACATCTCCATCCACGGGCCTGGTGGAAGAATACAGGACATACTCATCACAATAGCTCACGTAAATTACACTACATTACACTACACTACACACACACACACACACACACACATGCACAAAGGCACAAACGCACACACACAGTGTTAATAAGTTGATAGTGATAGATAGATAGTCATTGATAGTGATTATTAGATATTGATAGTGATAGATAGATAGTCATTGATAGTGATAGATAGATAGTCATTGATAGTGATAGATAGATAGTAATTGATAGTGATAGATAGATAGATAGTCATTGATAGTGATAGATAGATAGAGAGTCATTGATGGTGATAGATAGATAGTCATTGATAGTGATAGATAGATAGTAATTGATAGTGATAGATAGATAGAGAGTCATTGATAGTGATAGATAGATAGTCATTGATAGTGATAGATATATAGTAATTGATAGTGATAGATAGATAGATAGATAGATAGATAGCCATTGATAGTGATAGATTGATAGTCATCGATGGTGATAGATAGATAGTCATTGAGTAGGTAGTCTACCAGAGTAGGGTTATTATTAGTAATAAACAGCAGGTAGGCTACCAGAGTAGGGTTATTATGAGTGATAAACAGCAGGTAGGCTACCAGAGTAGGGTTATTATGAGTAATAAACAGTAGGTAGGCTACCAGAGTAGGGTTATTATTAGTAATAAACAGCAGGTAGGCTACCAGAGTAGGGTTATTATGAGTAACAAACAGTAGGTAGGCTACCAGAGTAGGGTTATTATGAGTGATAAACAGTAGGTAGGCTACCAGAGTAGGGTTATTATTAGTAATAAACAGTAGGTAGGCTACCAGAGTAGGGTTATTATGAGTAATAAACAGTAGGTAGACTACTGAAGTAGGGTTATTATGAGTGATAAACAGTAGGTAGACTACCAGAGTAGGGTTATTATGAGTGATAAACAGTAGGTAGGCTACCAGAGTAGGGTTATTATTAGTAATAAACAGTAGGTAGGCTACCAGAGTAGGGTTATTATGAGTGATAAACAGCAGGTAGGCTACCAGAGTAGGGTTATTATGAGTGATAAACAGTAGGTAGGCTACCAGAGTAGGGTTATTATGAGTGATAAACAGCAGGTAGGCTACCAGAGTAGGGTTATTATGAGTAACAAACAGTAGGTAGGCTACCAGAGTAGGGTTATTATGAGTAACAAACAGTAGGTAGGCTACCAGAGTAGGGTTATTATGAGTGATAAACATTAGGTAGGCTACCAGAGTAGGGTTATTATGAGTAACAAACAGTAGGTAGTCTACCAGAGTAGGGTTATTGTGAGTGATAAACAGTAGGTAGGCTACCAGAGTAGGGTTATTATGAGTAATAAACAGCAGGTAGGCTACCAGAGTAGGGTTAGTATGGGTAACAAACAGTAGGTAGGCTACCAGAGTAGGGTTATTATGAGTAACAAACAGTAGGTAGGCTAACAGAGTAGGGTTATTATGAGTGATAAACAGTAGGTAGGCTACCAGAGTAGGGTTATTATGAGTAACAAACAGTAGGTAGGCTACCAGATTAGGGTTATTATGAGTAATAAACAGCAGTTAGGCTACCAGAGTAGGGTTAGGGTTATTATGAGTAATAAACAGCAGGTAGGCTACCAGAGTAGGGTTATTATTAGTAATAAACAGTAGGTAGGCTACCAGAGTAGGGTTATTATGAGTGATAAACAGTAGGTAGGCTACCAGAGTAGGGTTATTATGAGTAATAAACAGCAGGTAGGCTACCAGAGTAGGGTTATTATGAGTGATAAACAGTAGGTAGGCTACCAGAGTAGGGTTATTATGAGTGATAAAAGTAGGTAGACTACCAGAGTAGGGTTATTATGAGTAATAAACAGCAGGTAGGCTACCAGAGAAGGGTTATTATGAATAATAAACAGCAGGTAGGCTACCAGAGTAGTGTTATTATGAGTGATAAACAGGAGGTAGGCTACCAGAGTAGGGTTATTATGAATAATAAACAGCAGGTAGGCTACCAGAGTAGTGTTATTATGAGTGATAAACAGCAGGTAGGCTACCAGAGTAGGGTTATTATGAGTGATAAACAGTAGGTAGGCTACCAGAGTAGGGTTATTATGAGTAATAAACAGCAGGTAGGCTACCAGAGTAGGGTTATTATGAGTGACAAACAGTAGGTAGTCTACCAGAGTAGGGTTATTATTAGTAATAAACAGCAGGTAGGCTACCACAGTAGGGTTATTATGAGTAACAAACAGTAGGTAGGCTACCAGAGTAGGGTTATTATGAGTAATAAACAGCAGGTAGGCTATCACAGTAGGGTTATTATGAGTAATAAACAGCAGTTAGGCTACCAGAGTAGGGTTATTATGAGTGATAAACAATAGGTAGGCTACCAGAGTAGGGTTATTATGAGTAATAAACAGCAGTTAGGCTACCAGAGTAGGGTTATTATGAGTAACAAACAGCAGGTAGGCTACTAGAGTAGGGTTATTATGAGTAATAAACAGCAGGTAGGCTACCAGAGTAGGGTTATTATGAGTAATAAACAGCAGGTAGGCTACTAGAGTAGGGTTATTATGAGTAATAAACAGCAGGTAGGCTACCAGAGTAGGGTTATTATGAGTAATAAACAGTAGGAAGGCTACCAGAGTAGGGTTATTATGAGTGATAAACAGCAGGTAGGCTACCAGAGTAGGGTTATTATGAGTGATAAACAGTAGGTAGACTATCAGAGTAGGGTTATTATGAGTAATAAACAGCAGGTAGGCTACCAGAGTAGGGTTATTATGAGTGATAAACAGTAGGTAGACTACCAGAGTAGGGTTATTATGAGTGATAAAAGTAGGTAGACTACCAGAGTAGGGTTATTATGAGTAATAAACAGCAGGTAGGCTACCAGAGTAGGGTTATTATGAATAATAAACAGCAGTTAGGCTGCCAGAGTAGGGTTATTATTAGTAATAAACAGCAGGTAGGCTACCAGAGTAGGGTTATTATGAGTGATAAACAGGAGGTAGGCTACCAGAGTAGGGTTATTATGAATAATAAACAGCAGTTATGCTACCAGAGTAGGGTTATTATAAGTAATAAACAGCAGTTAGGCTACCAGAGTAGGGTTATTATTAGTAATAAACAGCAGGTAGGCTACCAGAGTAGGGTTATTATGAGTGATAAACAGTAGGTAGGCTACCAGAGTAGGGTTATTATGAGTAATAAACAGCAGGTAGGCTACCTGAGTAGGGTTATTATTAGTGATAAACAGTAGGTAGGCTACCAGAGTAGGGTTATTATGAGTAATAAACAGTAGGTAAACTACCAGAGTAGGGTTACCGTTATTATGAGTAATAAACAGTAGGTAGGCTACCAGAGTAGCGATAGAGTTTTGTGAGTGATAAACAGTAGGTAGGCTACCAGAGTAGGGTTATTATGAGTAATAAACAGAAGGTAGACTACCAGAGTAGGGTTATTATGAGTAACAAACAGCAGGTAGGCTACCAGAGTAGGATTTTTATTAGTAATAAACAGCAGGTAGGCTACCAGAGTAGGGATAGGGTTATTATGAGTGATAAACAGCAGGTAGGCTACCAGAGTAGGGTTATTATTAGTAATAAACAGTAGGTAGACTACCAGAGTAGGATTATTATGAGTGACAAGCAGTAGGTAGGCTACCAGAGTAGGGTTAGGGTTATTATGAGTGATAAATAGTAGGTAGGCTACCAGAGTAGGGTTATTATTAGTAATACAAAGCAGGTAGGCTACCAGAGTAAGGTTAGGGTTATTATGAGTGATAAACAGTAGGTAGGCTACCAGAGTAGGGTTATTATGAGTAATAAACAGCAGGTAGGCTACCAGAGTAGGGTTATTATTAGTAATAAACAGTAGGTAGACTACCAGAGTAGGGTTATTATGAGTAATAAACAGCAGGTAGGCTACCAGAGTAGGGTTATTATTAGTAATAACCAGTAGGTAGGCTACCAGAGTAGGGTTATTATGAGTAATAAACAGTAGGTAGGATACCAGAGTAGGGTTATTATGAGAAATAAACAGTAGGTAGGCTACCAGAGTAGGGTTATTATGAGTAATAAACAGCAGGTAGGCTACCAGAGTAGGGTTATTATTAGTAATAAACAGCAGGTAGGCTACAAGAGTAGGGTTAGGGTTATTATGAGTGATAAACAGTTGGTAGGCTACCAGAGTAGGGTTATTATGAGTGATAAACAGTAGGTAGACTACCAGAATAGGGTTATTATGAGTAATAAACAGTAGGTAGGCTACCAGAGTAGGGTTATTATGAGTAACAAACAGTAGGTAGGCTACCAGAGTATGGTTAGGGTTATTATGAGTGATAAACAGTAGGTAGGCTACCATAGTAGGGTTATTATGAGTAACAAACAGTAGGTAGGCTACCAGAGTAGGGTTATTATGAGTAATAAACAGTAGGTATGCTACCAGAGTAGGGTTATTATGAGTAACAAACAGTAGGTAGGCTACCAGAGTAGGGTTATTATGAGTTATAAACAGTAGGTAGGCTACCAGAGTAGGGTTATTATGAGTAACAAACAGTAGGTAGGCTACCAGAGTAGGGTTATTATTAGTATTAAACAGCAGGTAGGCTACCAGAGTAGGGTTATTATGAGTAACAAACAGTAGGTAGGCTACCAGAGTAGGGTTATTATGAGTTATAAACAGTAGGTAGGCTACCAGAGTAGGGTTATTATGAGTAACAAACAGTAGGTAGGCTACCAGAGTAGGGTTATTATTAGTATTAAACAGCAGGTAGGCTACCAGAGTAGGGATAGGGTTATTATGAGTGATAAACAGCAGGTAGGCTACCAGAGTAGGGTTATTATTAGTAATAAACAGTAGGTAGACTACCAGAGTAGGGTTATTATGAGTAATAAACAGTAGGTATGCTACCAGAGTAGGGTTATTATGAGTGATAAACAGTAGGTAGGGTAACAGAGTAGAGTGATTATGAGTTATAAACAGTAGGTAGACTACCAGAGTGGGGATGGAGTTATTATGAGTGATAAACTGTAGGTAGGCTACCAGATTAGGGTTATTATGAGTAATAAACAGCAGGTAGGCTACCAGAGTAGGGTTATTATGAGTAACAAACAGTAGGTAGGCTACCAGAGTAGGGTTATTATTAGTATTAAACAGCAGGTAGGCTACCAGAGTAGGGTTATTATGAGTAACAAACAGTAGGTAGGCTACCAGAGTAGGGTTATTATGAGTTATAAACAGTAGGTAGGCTACCAGAGTAGGGTTATTATGAGTAACAAACAGTAGGTAGGCTACCAGAGTAGGGTTATTATTAGTATTAAACAGCAGGTAGGCTACCATAGTAGGGATAGGGTTATTATGAGTGATAAACAGCAGGTAGGCTACCAGAGTAGGGTTATTATTAGTAATAAACAGTAGGTAGACTACCAGAGTAGGGTTATTATGAGTAATAAACAGTAGGTATGCTACCAGAGTAGGGTTATTATGAGTGATAAACAGTAGGTAGAGTAACAGAGTAGAGTTATTATGAGTTATAAACAGTAGGTAGGCTACCAGATTAGGGTTATTATGAGTAATAAACAGCAGGTAGGCTACCAGAGTAGGGTTATTATTAGTAATAAACAGTAGGTAGGCTACCAGAGTAGGGATAGGGTTATTATGAGTGATAAACAGTAGGTAGGCTACCAGAGTAGGGTTATTATGAGTAATAAACAGCAGGTAGGCTACCAGAGTAGGGTTATTATTAGTAATAAACAGTAGGTAGGCTACCAGAGTAGGGTTATTATGAGTGATAAACAGTAGGTAGGCTACCAGAGTATGGTTAGGGTTATTATGAGTTATAAACAGTAGGTAGGCTACCAGAGTAGGGTTATTATGAGTGATAAACAGTAGGTAGGCTACCAGAGTAGGGTTATTATGAGTGATAAACAGCAGGTAGGCTACCAGAGTAGTGTTATTATGAGTGATAAACAGTAGGTAGGCTACCAGAGTAGGGTTAGGGTTATTATGAGTAATAAACAGCAGGTAGGCTACCAGAGTAGGGTTATAATGAGTGATAATCAGTAGGTAGGCTACCAGAGTAGGGTTAGGGTTATTATGAGTAATAAACAGTAGGTAGGCTACCAGAGTAGGGTTATTATGAGTTATAAACAGCAGGTAGGCTACTAGAGTAGGGTTATAATGAGTGATAATCAGTAGGTAGGCTACCAGAGTAGGGTTAGGGTTATTATGAGTAATAAACAGTAGGTAGGCTACCAGAGTAGGGTTATTATGAGTAATAAACAGTAGGTAGACTACCAGAGTAGGGTTATTATGAGTGATAAACAGTAGGTAGACTATCAGAGTAGGGTTATTATGAGTAATAAACAGCAGGTAGACTACCAGAGTAGGGTTATTATGAGTGATAAACAGCAGGTAGGCTACCAGAGTAGGGTTATTATGAGTGATAAACAGTAGGTAGGCTACCAGAGTATGGTTAGGGTTATTATGAGTTATAAACAGTAGGTAGGCTACCAGAGTAGGGTTATTATGAGTAACAAACAGTAGGTAGGCTACCAGAGTAGGGTTATTATGAGTTATAAACAGTAGGTAGGCTACCAGAGTAGGGTTATTATGAGTAACAAACAGTAGGTAGGCTACGAGAGTAGGGTTATTATTAGTATTAAACAGCAGGTAGGCTACCAGAGTAGGGTTATTGTGAGTAACAAACAGTAGGTAGGCTACCAGAGTAGGGTTATTATGAGTGATAAACAGTAGGTAGGCTACCAGAGTAGGGTTATTATGAGTAACAAACAGTAGGTAGGCTACCAGAGTAGGGTTATTATTAGTATTAAACAGCAGGTAGGCTACCAGAGTAGGGATAGGGTTATTATGAGTGATAAACAGCAGGTAGGCTACCAGAGTAGGGTTATTATTAGTAATAAACAGTAGGTAGACTACCAGAGTAGGGTTATTATGAGTAATAAACAGTAGGTATGCTACCAGAGTAGGGTTATTATGAGTGATAAACAGTAGGTAGGGTAACAGAGTAGAGTTATTATGAGTTATAAACAGTAGGTAGACTACCAGAGTGGGGATAGGGTTATTATGAGTGATAAACTGTAGGTAGGCTACCAGATTAGGGTTATTATGAGTAATAAACAGCAGGTAGGCTACCAGAGTAGGGTTATTATTAGTAATAAACAGTAGGTAGGCTACCAGAGTAGGGATAGGGTTATTATGAGTGATAAACAGTAGGTAGGCTACCAGAGTATGATTATTATGAGTAATAAACAGCAGGTAGGCTACCAGAGTAGGGTTATTATTAGTAATAAACAGTAGGTAGGCTACCAGAGTAGGGTTATTATGAGTGATAAACAGTAGGTAGGCTACCAGAGTATGGTTAGGGTTATTATGAGTTATAAACAGTAGGTAGGCTACCAGAGTAGGGTTATTATGAGTGATAAACAGTAGGTAGGCTACCAGAGTAGGGTTATTATGAGTGATAAACAGCAGGTAGGCTACCAGAGTAGTGTTATTATGAGTGATAAACAGTAGGTAGGCTACCAGAGTAGGGTTAGGGTTATTATGAGTAATAAACAGCAGGTAGGCTACCAGAGTAGGGTTATAATGAGTGATAATCAGTAGGTAGGCTACCAGAGTAGGGTTAGGGTTATTATGAGTAATAATTAGTAGGAAGGCTACCAGAGTAGGGTTATTATGAGTGATAAACAGCAGGTAGGCTACCAGAGTAGGGTTATAATGAGTGATAATCAGTAGGTAGGCTACCAGAGTAGGGTTAGGGTTATTATGAGTAATAAACAGTAGGTAGGCTACCAGAGTAGGGTTATTATGAGTAATAAACAGTAGGTAGACTACCAGAGTAGGGTTATTATGAGTGATAAACAGTAGGTAGGCTACCAGAGTAGGGTTATTATGAGTAATAAACAGTAGGTAGACTACCAGAGTAGGGATAGGGTTATTATGAGTAATAAACAGCAGGTAGGCTACCAGAGTAGGGTTATTATGAGTAACAAACAGTAGGTAGGCTACCAGAGTAGGGTTATTATGAGTAATAAACAGTAGGTAGGCAACCAGAGTAGGGTTATTATGAGTAATAAACAGTAGGTAGGCTACCAGAGTAGGGTTATTATGAGTGATAAACAGTAGGTAGGCTACCAGAGTAGGGTTATTATGAGTGATAAACAGTAGGTAGGCTATCAGAGTATGGTTATTATGAGTGATAAACAGTAGGTAGACTACCAGAGTAGGGTTAGGGTTATTATTAGTAATAAACAGCAGGTAGGCTACCAGAGTAGGGTTATTATGAGTAACAAACAGTAGGTAGACTACCAGAGTAGGGTTATTATGAGTAATAAACAGCAGGTAGGCTACCAGAGTAGGGTTATTAATAGTAATAAACAGTCGGTATACTACCAGAGTAGGGTTATTATGAGTAATAAACCATAGGTAGGCTACCAGAGTAGGGTTATTATGAGTAATAAACAGTAGGTAGACTACCAGAGTAGGGTTATTATGAGTAATAAACAGTAGGTAGGCTACCAGAGTAGGGATAGGGTTATTATGAGTAATAAACAGCAGGTAGGCTACCAGAGTAGGGTTATTATGAGTAACAAACAGTAGGTAGGCTACCAGAGTAGGGTTATTATGAGTGATAAACAGCAGGTAGGCTACCAGAGTAGGGTTATTATGAGTGATAAACAGTAGGTAGGCTACCAGAGTAGGGTTATTATGAGTGATAAACAGTAGGTAGGCTAACAGAGTAGGGTTATTATGAGTGATAAACAGCCGGTAGGCTACCAGAGTAGGGTTATTATGAGTGATAAACAGTAGGTAGGCTACCAGAGTAGGGTTATTATGAGTAATAAACAGTAGGTAGGCTACCAGAGTAGGGTTATTATGAGTAATAAACAGCAGGTAGGCTACCAGAGTAGGGTTATTATGAGTAATAAACAGTAGGTAGACTACCAGAGTAGGGTTAGGGTTATTATTAGTAATAAACAGCAGGTAGGCTACCAGAGTAGGGTTATTATGAGTAACAAACAGTAGGTAGGCTACCAGAGTAGGGTTATTATGAGTGATAAACAGCAGGTAGGCTACCAGAGTAGGGTTATTATGAGTGATAAACAGTAGGTAGGCTACCAGAGTAGGGTTATTATGAGTAATAAACAGCAGTTAGGCTACCAGAGTAGGGTTATTATGAGTGATAAACAGCAGGTAGGCTACCAGAGTAGGGTTATTATGAGTGATAAACAGTAGGTAGGCTACCAGAGAAGGGTTATTATGAGTAATAAACAGTAGGTAGGCTACCAGAGTTGGCCAAGAGGGCTGTGATGATCAGCAGCAGCACCCCCAGTGCAGTATGGAGGATGAGGCATTTTACAGGAGAGCTGCCATAGCTATTCACCAGCAGCATTAGATCATCTGCAGGGTTCAACAACAACAGGTCAGAGAATATTGTTTGACAAGAAGCAATGAACACATCTCCATATTCGTCCTCTATTGGCCAAGTTTCTGTACTGCAACATGACCTATGCACCTGACCAGTTTCACTCTCATTAAGTCTATCTTGAGAAACACACAAATGAAATAATAAGCGAATTAATGAAAAGCCTGCATTCATGTATAATATAATACATATCATTTAAACCTTCTCGCAAATGTTTTGTGATCACAATATTTTATATGATACCTATTAGGATAATTAAAACAAAGAGAAAATAAAATAACAAATAAAAGATAGCCCTCCTTTATGTATTGAATATGCTTTGATTATCCGTTTTTATGATCATCTTCTCATAGCTCGATAACCTCAATAAACTCCCTGCCTGTTTCATTACAATACATTTGTTTTACAATGTATTTCGATAGCAAATTCCTAATTCTTTAGAAGGTGTTAGGCTATATAAAAAGTCATGGAAATAGAACCGATCAGAAATCAGAATGTTCTCTTACGGCCGGAGATCCTGAGGATTCCCACGGAGAAATAAAGCGACTCCGTCTCCAGCTCAGACAACCCCGGAGCAGCTGATGCCCGCTCCGCAGAGCGCTCCGAGGTTATACGGTCCGGTGGTGGAACGTCATTCTCTCTTCATGTTACAGGACACGACCAGAGTAGAGTTGGGAAAGTTATCTCAACAATAACAACGTGATGAAAACAGGTGCTTTTTTATCACAACTGATCAGGAAATTCTGCTCTGTGAAAGGACTTGGATTTTCTGCTGTAAGTGATCCGTTGTAAAGGGGATGATGGTGGAAGAATAACGCGAACGTTTAGCAACTCAAAGGTTGCGAGTTCGAATGTCATCACGGACAACTGTAGAATTTGTGCTAATTAGCAACTTTTCAACTACTTACTAATGTAAATGATCTTCTAACCCATCCAAGCTTGCCATTGAATAGCTATGTGTCTGCATCCTTATGCGGCAGGTAGCTTAGTGGTTAAGAGCGTTGTGCCAGTAACCGAAAGGTCGCTGGTTCTAATCCCCGAGCCGACTAGGTGAAAAATCTGTCCTTGAGCAAGGCACTTAACCCTAATTGCTCCTGTAAGTCGCTCTGGATAAGAGCGTCTGCTAAATGGCTAAAATGGGAATGTATGTTCAGTTGAAGTCAGAAGTTTACATACACTGTAGCCAAATACATTTAAACTCAGTTTTTCACAATTCCTGACATTTAATCCTAGTAAAAAATGCCCTGTTTTAGGTCAGTTAGGATCACCACTTTATTTTGAGAATTTGAAATGTCAGAACAATAGTAGAGAGAGTGATTTATTTCAGCTTTTATTTCTTTCATCACGTTCCCAGTGGGACAGAAGTTTACATACACTCAATTAGTATTTGGTAGCATTGCCTTTAAATTGTTTAACTTGGGTCAAACCTTCCACAAGCTTCCCACAATAAGTTGGGTGAATTTTGGCCCATTCCTCCTGACAGAGCTGGTGTAACCACCTAACTGTATTTAGTGTAGTCTACTCTGTACTGTCTGTGAATATAAACTGTATTTAGTGTAGTCTACGCTATACTGTCTGTGAATATAAACTGTATTTAGTGTAGTCTACGCTATACTGTCTGTGAATATAAACTGTATTTAGTGTAGTCTACGCTATACTGTCTGTGAATATAAACTGTATTTAGTGTAGTCTACACTATACTGTCTGTGAATATAAACTGTATTTAGTGTAGTCTACGCTATACTGTCTGTGAATATAAACTGTATTTAGTGTAGTCTACACTATACTGTCTGTGAATATAAACTGTATTTAGTGTAGTCTACTCTGTACTGTCTGTGAATAGAAACTGTATTTAGTGTAGTCTACGCTATACTGTCTGTGAATATTAACTGTATTTAGTGTAGTCTACACTATACTGTCTGTGAATATAAACTGTATTTAGTGTAGTCTACGCTATACTGTCTGTGAATATTTTGAAGCAAGCTTCCAGGAAATTGGAACGGAAATGGCGCCACACCAAACTGGAAGTCTTCCGACTAGCTTGGAAAGACAGTACCGTGCAGTACCGAAGAGCCCTCACTGCTGCTCGATCATCCTACTTTTCCAAATTAATCGAGGAAAATAAGAACAATCCAAAATTTATTTTTGATACTGTTGCAAAGCTAACTAAAAAGCAGCATTCCCCAAGAGAGGATGGTTTTCACTTCAGCAGTGATAAATTCATGAACTTCTTTGAGGAAAAGATCATGACCATTAGAAAGCAAATTACGGACTCCTCTTTGAATCTGCGTATTCCTCCAGGGCTTAGCTGTCCTGGATCTGCACAGCTCTGCGAGGGCCTGGGATCGGGAGAGACACTTAAGTGTTTTAATACTATATCTCTTGACACAATGATGAAAATAATCATGGCCTCTAAACCTTCAAGCTGCATACTGGATCCTATTCCTACTAAACTGCTGAAGGAGCTGCTTCCTGTGCTTGGCCCTCCTATGTTGAACATAATAAACAGCTCTCTATCCACCGGATGTGTACCAAACTCACTAAAAGTGGCAGTGATAAAGCCTCTCTTGAAAAAGCCAAACCTTGACCCGGAAAATATAAAAAACTATCGGCCTATATCGAATCTTCCATTCCTCTCAAAAATTTTAGAAAAAGCTGTTGCGCAGCAACTCACTGCCTTTCTGAAGACAAACAATGTATACGAAATGCTTCAGTCTGGTTTTAGACCCCATCATAGCACTGAGACTGCACTTGTGAAGGTGGTAAATGACCTTTTAATGGCGTCAGACCGAGGCTCTGCATCTGTCCTCGTGCTACTAGACCTTAGTGCTGCCTTTGACACCATCGATCACCACATTCTTTTGGAGAGACTGGAAACCCAAATTGGTCTACACGGACAAGTTCTGGCCTGGTTTAGATCCTACCTGTCGGAAAGATATCAGTTTGTCTCTGTGAATGGTCTGTCCTCCGACAAATCAACTGTACATTTCGGTGTTCCTCAAGGTTCCGTTTTAGGACCACTATTGTTTTCACTATATATTTTACCTCTTGGGGATGTTATTTGAAAACATAATGTTAACTTTCACTGCTATGCGGATGACACACAGCTGTACATTTCAATGAAGCATGGTGAAGCCCCAAAATTGCCCTCGCTAGAAGCCTGTGTTTCAGACATAAGGAAGTGGATGGCTGAAAACTTTTTACTTTTAAACTCGGACAAAACAGAGATGCTTGTTCTAGGTCCCAAGAAACAAAGAGATCTTCTGTTAAATCTGACAATTCATCTTGATGGTTGTAAAGTCGTCTCAAATAAAACTGTGAAGGACCTAGGCGTTACTCTTGACCCTGATCTCTCTTTTGACGAACATATCAAGACTGTTTCAAGGACAGCTTTTTTCCATCTACGTAACATTGCAAAAATCAGAAATTTTCTGTCCAAAAATGATGCAGAAAAATTAATCCATGCATTTGTTACTTCTAGATTAGACTACTGCAATGCTCTATTTTCCGGCTACCCGGATAAAGCACTAAATAAACTTCAGTTAGTGCTAAATACGGCTGCTAGAATCCTGACTAGAACCAAGAAATTTGATCATATTACTCCAGTGCTAGCTTCCCTACACTGGCTTCCTGTTAAGGCAAGGGCTGATTTCAAGGTTTTACTGTTAACCTATAAAGCGTTACATGGGCTTGCTCCTACCTATCTTTCCGAGTTGGTCCTGCCGTACATACCAATACGTACGCTACGGTCACAAGACGCAGGCCTCCTAATTGTCCCTAGAATTTCTAAGCAAACAGCGGGAGGCAGGGATTTCTCCTATAGATCTCCATTTCTATGGAACAGTCTGCCTACCCATGTGAGAGACGCAGACTCGGTCTCAACCTTTAAGTCTTTACTGAAGACTTATCTCTTCAGTAGGTCATATGATTGAGTGTAGTCTGGCCCAGGAGTGTGAAGGTGAACGGAAAGGCTGGAGCAACGAACAGCCCTTGCTGTCTCTGCCGGGCCGGTTCCCCTCTCCACTGGGGTTCTCTGCCTCTAACCCTGTTGCAGGGGCTGAGTCACTGGCCTGCTGGTGCTCTTTCATGCCGTCCCTGGGAGGGGTGCGTCACTTGAGTGGGTTGAGTTACTGACGTGATCTTCCTGTCTGGGTTGGCGCCCCCCCCCCCCTTGGTTTGTGCTGTGGTGGAGACCTCTGTGGGCTATACTCGGCCTTGTCTCAGGATTGTAAGTTGGTGGTTGGGGATATCCCTCTAGTGGTGCGGGGGCTGTGCTTTGGCGGAGTGGGTGGGGTTATATCCTTCCTGTTTGGCCCTGTCCGGGGGTTTTCTTCGGATGGGGCCACAGTGTCTCCGGACCGCTCCTGTCTCAGCCTCCAGTATTTATGCTGCAGTAGTTTATGTGTCGGGGGGCTGGGGTTAGTTGGTTATACCTGGAGTACTTCTCCTGTCTTATCCAGTGTCCTGTGTGAATTTAAGTATGCTCTCTCTAATTCTCTCGTTCTCTCTTTCTCTCTGAGAACCTGAGCCCTAGGACCATACGTCAGGACTACCGGGCATGATGACACCCTGCTGCCCCCAGTCCGCCTGGCCTTGCTGCTATTCCAGTTTCAACTGTTCTGCCTGCGGCTACGAAACCCCTACCTGTCCCAGACCTGCTGTTTTCAACTCTAAATGATCGGCTATGAAAAGCCAACTGAGAGACCTGAGCCCTAGGACCATACGTCGGGACTACCGGCCGTGGTGACTCCTTGCTATCCCCAGTCCGCCTGGCCTTGCTGCTATTCCAGTTTAAACTGTTCTGCCTGCGGTTATGGAACCCCTACCTGTCCCAGACCTGCTGTTTTAAACTCTAATGATCGGCTATGAAAAGCCAACTGAGATTTATTCCTGATTATTATTTGACCATGCTTGTCACTTATGAACATTTTTGAACATCTTGGCATGGTTCTGTTATAATCTCCACC